CCTTGACTGGAACACGTGAATATTCTGCACAAACTCGAGGCTAACCCTGTGCAAATGAGTCTGTAATCAAGAAACACAGCGGTAATTTGGAATTCGAAACGGGTCTATTAGATACATGAACAGAAAATCATGGTATAGAGAAACAAACATAGAAAAATGTCTGTAAAAGTAATTATTAATTTGGACCCGGGAGTCGTTTTCCGTTCGACAGCTCTTGACCATTTTCGAGTTGCAAATATCCGCTGTCATCCTTATCTCATTTAATAATATTGATGTTGATGGGTTGCCTGTGTACTTTGTAGGAATATTTATTAAAGCAGTCTGGGTTCGAGCAAGAGATCCAGGAAATCAGAACACATCTAGATACTGGAAAGACTGGGAAGATACGTATCCTTTTGATATATGTACTATAGATTGCAGGTGAATATTCCCCCGAACGACTCTTTCATAATTTGTTTTTTCACTCAGCGCCGTACATTACAGCAGTTTTCGCATGAGTTTGAAAAACTTACACTCTTCACTCAGCGCCATACATTACAGCAGTTTTCGCATGAGTTTGAAAAACTTACGTTAAAGAATGTCGGTTCCGCCTGGTTTTTTCGACTCGGTGTTTGGAAATCGGATGAAACACTCTTTTTGTGCATTTGATATATTACTTATATTTAGATAAGAAAACGTTTCCTTAACGTCATGATGCAGCCGGTAGTATTCATTCTGTAGCAGAGGCTCTTCTTATCTTCCTGGAGGCTTTACCAATACCTGTCATACCTTTTAGCTTCTACCACAGGGCTTTAGAAGGTTGTAATAACTATTTGCTGTGCAAACAGGTAGGAAAAATTAAAAATATCTGTATAACAGTTTTCCTCTGATACTCTGATTTAAACAAGCAGGATGCTGAGAGAACACGAGAGAAACGTAGGGAATCACGACGTGTAGCGTTGTTTAGAACAGAGTTAGCCTGCCACTCTACTGTTTAATTTTTCCAATGAAAATTCAAATTCTGAGAGAGCGTGCGAAAAAAAATGTTTTATTTTTCCTATGAAAGTTCAAATCATAATGAATATGTTATTGGTATTCTCAATAAAGATTATACGTAAGACATCTCTCTCTTTTTCTCTCCATTTTCCCCTGTCTCCCAATGGACAATTTCGACGATTCGGCGGCCATCTTGAAACACAAGGCACTATGGGTCATCAAGGAGGCAAATAGACAAAGCTTCGTTACAATAATGGCGTCGATTGACATTTACGTTTCTTGACGAGACAACTAGAGTAAATTTTTAGAGACTAGAGATGATTTTTTTTTAATGGACAGTTCCACAACTTAGGAACTTTCTCAAAGAACGTGGGTTCGCATCATCGGAGTAGTCCATTCCTCTTCCTCTCTCTACCTTCTTTCTTTTCCCTTTCCCATCCATTCCCCATCCCTTTCTCTCTCAATATTTCTTCTCTGTCTCATTCACTCTCTTTCAGTTGATCTCAGTCGAGTGAAAATAACAATTTTGTTCTGTTCCCAACCAGCTTATCTACCAGATACCCGAATGTCATCGTAACGTCTTCACGTACATAACAGCCTTCTTGAGAGAACTGCTTCTCGCATCTACTGAAAACAAATTAGATGCGAAGACCTTAGGTGAGTCTGACTAGGTCCATGGATATTTATAATAGAGGCTTTGCACCATCACGTGTCAGCGCCCATTATACAGCTTGGGCTGTCTGTGGTTAGATGGCAGAACAATAGAACCCCCTTGCTCTCAGGAATAAGCCTGAAGCGAGATGACGTTTTACCCCCGACTCTATACCATAATAGCTTTTAAAATTCTTTCATATTAAAATTTTTGATTCCTTAGAGAATACAGGAACAATAGTCATAATTAAAGAACAAAAGCAGTGTGAAAAGGATTATGGTCTAGAGACGGGGGTAAAACGTCATCTCGCTTCATGGTAATTGAATTCTTTCTCATGTAAAACGGTTGTATTGCTCCTGCCATCTAACGTGGCTGCCGCCACGTGATGGTGCAAAACCTAAATAGAAGAATAGATTCTTGAAGAGAGAAACAAGATATGCATTTACATCACTCTCCGAGTAACATCCTTACCCTTAACGTAATGTTTTTTTCAAACCACGTGTCATTCTCTTAAAAATAAGATTCTTTGTTTGAGTTGTATCCATATTCATGTGTCTTCTCGTATTCAACCGTTGAACAAAAAAATGATAAGATTCTTTGTTTGAGTTGTATCCATATTCTTGTGTCTTCTCTTGTGCAACCATTAAACAAAGAAATTATACTCTAGGGAATGACACGTGGTCTGAAATGGGAAAACAGTGGATTAGGTCTATTTCAGACCACGTGTCATGTTCTTGGAATAAGATTTTTGTTGATTTTTTGTATCAATACTGATTCATGTGTCTTCTCATGTGCAACCGTTAAACAAAGAAATGATACTCTAGGGAATGACACGTGGTCTGAAAAGAGGAAACATTACGTCCAAGGTAAAGAGTTCTGTTTTTCTTCCATTTTCAGCGACGTTATTTGGGACTTTGCTTCTTCGTTCACCCAAGGATGTAGCGTTAACGTTGAACAAGAACAAGAGGACGCTGGCACAGCACACAAACAAGAAAACAAGATTTGTATACCAATTCCTTCTCAACCAATTCGATGGCCGGTAACAGTATGGTAACATGTTTAGAAAATAATTGATACTCATTGATACAGGTAAACACTGCCCGTCCTGTGCTTAATCTATTGGTGGGTTTTAATGGGCTTATAAAAGACCAGAGAGTATTCTATTGCTTGGTATCAATCAGCTGAATGAATCTCATGAATCTCATTACCAGCCTACAATGACAGGCAAACACTGCCCGTCGTGTGCTATCAACCATAGAGTATTCGATTGCTTGGTATCAATCAGCTAAATGAATCTCATGAATCTCATTACCAGCCTACAATGACAGGCAAACACTGCCCGTCGTGTGCTATCAACCATAGAGTATTCTATTGCTTGGTATCAATCAGCTAAATGAATCTCATGAATCTCATTACCAGCCTACAATGACAGGCAAACACTGCCCGTCNCAACCATAGAGTATTCTATTGCTTGGTATCAATCAGCTAAATGAATCTCATGAATCTCATTACCAGCCTACAATGACAGGCAAACACTGCCCGTCATGTGCTATCAACCAGAGAGTATTCTATTGCTTGGTATCAATCAGCTGAATGAATCTCATTACCAGCCTATCAGGTGCAATGGCGCTGTGGTGACGTCATTTAATATCAAGTATGACGTCATTTATATGACGTCAGAATTATATAGTATCATTAGAAACGACCCAATAGCATTTTAAATTCAAATTTTTAATGAAGATTTTCAATGATCAGTCGTATAAGAATATTAGGGATTATCAGCGATATATTAATACTATTATGATTAAAAGGGGGGATGTGAAATTTAAGATGAAACGAAATGTGATTATTAAAAAAAAAACACGTAATAGACCCCCTCCCCCTGGGGATCACTACATAACAGATTTTCAGAAATTGAGAAGGTCTTGGAAGGTCTTGGGAGGGGACTTATTGGAAAGAATAGACTTAATAAGTTGTGGAGTAATGTTTTCCCATTTCAGACCACGCCTCATTCCCTTGACAATAAGATTATTTGTTTGAGTCGCATCCATATTCATGTGTCTTCTCGTGTGCAACCGTTAAACAAAGAAATGATACTCTAGGGAATGAAATGTGGTCTGTAATGGGAAAACATTGCACCCAATGTAAAGATTTCAATGCATGTTATTTACCATACGAAAAATAGATTTATTGTTTTCGTCATAAATACATTTATCATATGACCCGTACGGCCCTGCTCGCGCGCTCTAATAAAACCATTGGAAAAAGTCACGTGATGGGGACCGGACGGGTTGACGTAAGCGGGCCGGAAAAACCCGTCCGGCCCTGCTCGAATCCGCGGGCTTTCTTTCGCTAAATAGAGGTTGGTCCCTTATCATTACAGGTATAAATTAGTAAATCTTTGGCACAGGTTCTAATGCATTTCGTTGTTCCTTACGTTGGTCACATTTTTTTTCCTTTCATTCTCGACTTTCACATCCCCATAATACTTTGCATTTTTGGGGGGTAACCAGAGGGTAAAAACCCACTTATTTTGCTGAAG